ATCACATAATATATCTTACTGTTATGAGGCCGCTGTTGTTGTTTTTCTGATTCCTTTTGATGGTTAGAGGCTTACAACTTTAGACATTTATCATTGACTTATTATTTTGCTACACAGATAACGTATGGGGAATCTATATTCATATTGATAAAGAGAGCACTGGGCTTTGTTTCTCTGATACTTTGTTGGGGGCTTTGATAATCTTTTACTTGACTTGTTTGAGGGCCTTTTTATCATTGCATTGTTCGATTGAATGGTTCTTGCTAGAAGTTTGGAAGGAGGTTGAATTTGGGGAGGTTTTCATGAAACATTCTTTCATTTAAAAGGATTATATGAATTTATATTATCTTGGGATTACTCTTGGCTTGTAATACGGCTTGGAAATGGAAATATTTATTGGTTAGTGCATTGTATGAAAAGCAGTTTGGACTTCATATTGGATTTGGTTATTTGGCTTGATGATAGAAATCCTAGCTTCATTGGATTTCATATATTTGTTTCTTCTCGGCCTCTAGGGGTGCTTGCTGGTAGACAGTTTGGGCATGGAATATTGATGAATTTTTCTGTGATTTTGTTTTTATTTATTTGGGACAGTACTAAGGGCAAGATTGCTATTAGTGTTGCGGCTCCATTTATTTTAATTGATCCTTTAGCTGCTGTCATGGGGTTATTGTCTCTATTATCGGGTTTAACAGTCTTTTATATCTTCTGCACCGGTTGATGAAGGACCTGCATTTTTGGATTAATATGTTGGTCACTGTTTTGTATTTAGCTGGTTGGACTCTTACATTTGTGACTTTAGGGGCATATAACACTTGCCACTTCCTACATTGTGCATTTCTATTAATTTTGGCAAGGAGTTACCTTGCTTATTTTTGGATGTTGGATTTTAGATACTTGGATGTTGCTAACAGAGCTTGGAGTATACTGTCTTGGACAATGCTTCTTGCTTATTATCTATGTTGTTTCTGAAAAGATTGCAAGGGATGGCAGGAACCGCTGGATTCAATTTGGACTTAGCCTTTTCTTCTTCAAATATGCTCTCTTTTTTTTTAGTTTTGGGGTTTGGTATACATGTACTTTTTGGGTATACTCTTTCTGTTGGTATACTTTTTGGGTTTTCACATGTACTTTCTGTTTTTGCGTTATGTTGTATTGCAGATAGTGGAACCCCTAAGATTTGATGTTTTTGTTTTGTCTCTAGATGGGGATCCACTATCCCACCCCAAATTTATACCTTTTTTTATTATTAACACGTAAAGAGCCATGAGATGCTCTTTTAATCTATATATATATATATATATATATATATATATATAAATGTGGTTGGGGGGT